ATAAAAAGAAAAACAAGCTTTATGGTATTCTTTAGGTGCTGGAGATTAAACCCAGACATTCCACATGGTAGACAACACTGTGTCACTGAGCTCCTGCCCCCAACCCAGAAATTTATGATTATTAAAACTTCGTATTTTCTTTAATAATTGCCAATTAACTGTTCAAGTGTTTTGTGCAATCGTATAGGAAATACTTAAGAATCTTTTAAGTTTTATCATCCTTACATATTTATGCAAAGACAATGTAACAAAGCCAGAATCAGTTGTTTATCTTTATTTCAATGTTTATAGAACTGTACTAAAATTATATATGCATATTTAAATTTCTAGGAATTTCTCAAAAATAAAACTTTATCACGCTCTTAATACTGTCCTAAATCTCAGACCACAGAAATTTGGACTTGATCAGTAAATAAAACTGGTAAGAGCTACTTCAAAATTGTAGAAAAATAAACAGCTTGTTTTTCTGAAACAACAAGACATGCAGATATTGTGTTTCCTCCTAAGGAGGGTATAAATATCACTTTTGTGGTAGCTTACCAAATTACATAAACCAAATCTCATCAGAAGAACATGTCAGGCAGGACCAAATTGAAAAATATTATACAAAATACCTTCAAATATATAGAGATCATGTGAAGCAAATGAAATCCAAAGGACATTTACAAGACCTAGGTTACTAAAATATGACAATTAGAACCTAGTCCAGAGAAATGACATTATTTAGAACTAATGAAATTCTAATGAAATCTATTTGTTAAAAACAACTGTCTCTTTCAGAATTGGGCTATAAATGCTGTCATGTTGTCAATAGCATCACTGGAATCCAAAGGACATAGAGGTAGTAGCTGATGTGATGCATACATGGAGACAATGAACAGAGTTCCGGGTGGCTGAGGTGTAGATCAGCAATACAGTGCTGTCCTACCATGCGTGAGGCCTTGTATTTGATCTGCAGCATTACAAAATTGAGCACACAAAAACATTTCAGACAGCCAGTAAACAAGATTTCAGCACATGAAAAATGTAAAAAGACATTTGCTAATAATGGGAATGGATGTGCCAGATGCACAGCAGATCCTAAGAGCACAGGGTCCAGATGGCCACTGATGTACATGTTACAGAAAAATTAAATTTGTGAGAATTGTTCCCTTGAAATGTAAAACTT